AAAAATAGTTTAATATAATTAAATAAACTAAATTTTATATTTAAACAAATATAAAAAAAAATTATAATGAAGAAAATGTATACTTGAAATATTTAAAACTGAATTCCTATCAAGTTTATATTGACTTTTATTTTTCTTTCAGAAATGATAAAAACAATCTCAGTCATTTCAAAAGTTTGCTAGAATGAAAGTTTAAAAAAGAAAATCTAATTTTACAAAGAGAGGTTTAAAATACTTGAATCGAATTGAATTTCCTTGTAAAGAAGCTTTTTGCGAGAAACCAAATGACTTCCTTTCTTCCCCGTAATTCAGTTAATGATTCCTCATCCTGTGAAACGATCTTTGAATAACAATGAAACTAACTACACTAAGAAAAGAGTCAGAAAAAAGATAAGAAAGTAAAATCAAAAATTGGAAAAACCTGGAAACAAATGAGGAAAGACAAGAACTTCGCAGAAATGAAAGTGTTAAGAAAAAAGGAAATGAAAAAAAAAAAAACGTAATTCTGAAGACAGACTGGGCAATTAAGTCGTATCTCGGAAATTGTGTGAAGAGAAGACGCCTACCCTTTTTTCCAACCACTCCCCCCACAGCAATGATCGATGTATGCTGGCTAAAGCTTTAATTAAACAATTACCAAGCTGGTCTGGTCTCAGCTAAATGCCAATATCGTAAAATCGTCTATAATAGATACTAATATTACTGATATTTAAAGTTCAAAAATTTTGTTTTCTTTTTTAACTTTTTATTAAGAAATGTTGACAAAATTTTTACTTACAAATTTGAGAAATAAAATATACATATTTTTAAAATCGGCCATTAACCAAAGTTTTGGTAGCACTAAATATTTAAAAAAAAATTCCTCGGCAATAATCGAAGTCTGCTGGCTAAAGCTTTAAATAAACAGTTACCAAGTTTGTCTGGTTTCAGCTAAATGCCAATATCGTAAAATCGTCTATACTAAATACTAATAATACTGATATTTAAAATTCAAAAATTTTGTTTCCTATTTTACTTTGTATAAGAAAATGTTGACAAAATTTTTAATTACAAATGCGAGAAATAAAATATAAGTATTTCTTAAATGCGGTTATTAACCAAAGTTTTGGCGGCACTAAGTATTAAAAAAAAATTCTCAACAATAAACACTGTATGCTGGCTAACGCTTTAATTAAACAATTACCAAGCTCGTCTGGTTTCAGCTTAATGGCAATATCATAAAATCGTCTATACTAGATACTAACATTACTGATATTTAAAATTCAAAAATTTTATTTCCTTTTTCACTTTGTATAAGAAAATGCTGGTAAAATTCTACTTACAAATTCGAGAAATAAAATATACGTATTTTTTAAATGAGGTTATTAACCAAAGTTTTTGGCAGCATTAAATAATTATATTAAAAAAAAATTATGTTTCTAATAATCACCATTTCATTTCTCTCTGTGTCTCGATATTTTAATTCTAGCCTTTTTTGCCAATTAGATTGAAACAAATTTTTTGTTACATTTTCACAAATACTTAATCTTACCTGATTTGGGTGTAGGGATTTCAAGTCTAAAACTAGTTTTGATCCTAAAGTTACATATTTTTCTTTAAATGACATTTTCATACTTGTGCAAGCTTAAAAACAACATTTAAACTTTTACATTTCGACAAAAATAGACTAAGAATGTCACATTAAAAAAAACTGTAGCTTTGAGAGAGAAACCGATTGCAGATTTGAAATCAGCAATGAGAAAATATCCAAGATCTATTAAAAATATCTTGCAACAGAAAACAAAAAATAATTGTCGCACAAACATGAAAAGACACGAAGCTTGAACGCTTGTTTTTGAAACAATAAATAGTTATCGAAAGTATTAATAAAATATTCATTCGATTTAGAATTCAAGCTTAGAAAGTCGATTCCGGATTAAAAATCTAATTCTAGCAAAATAAGCCATAAAACAAAATCACTCTTTCAAATCATTAATACTAACAACAAAAAAAATCCGAATTTTTCCTCACTTTATTCTTTCTTTCAATTTAGATACTAACTCTGCAAATAAATGCATATGTATGTTTAAAAAAGAAAAAAAGCAATATAACTTTCACTTTCTGAGCAATTTCTGATTTATGAATGGCACCCTCCTTTTTCCATTCTTCTCCTGAGCTTATTGGCTAGTGAAAGTAGAAAAAGTCGAAATTTACCGATTCTTAACTTTTTTTTTCAAACTTTTAAAGGAATCCGACTTTCCCGTGGATTCAGAGTTACTTTGGTACCTCCAATAGGTAACCTGCCTCCAGTGAAACGCATGGAACAAAAATAAAAAAATAAAAAAGCGGCATTTTCATTTTCTCCACTCCGATGTCACGATTCAAATCCTCTTCTCCTATAAATTCATTATTAGTTTTTCCTCCACCCCCACACTCGAAGAAAAGGAAAGTCGCAGTCACACTGAGATAGATAAAAAAATACATATATAAAACTTTTTTTTTCTTCCTTCCATCCCTTCCAAAACCCCTTTCTGAGGAAAAGAGGTTGGGCCTCGTTTAATTAAATTACTGCGAACGCCTCTATGGAAAGCAGATAAACTGGGCACACGGAACGGGCCCTTTTCTGTTATTAGCTTCTTCGCCTTCAGTAAAGAATGGACTAAAGGATCCATATAATCACGGATACCACTTCATCCTGGAGAAAATGAAAAGATGGGTATAAAAATAAAAGCAGGGCGCCTGACACTAGGCGTTTAAGCAATTTGATCCTTGCGAGGGACAACACTTGTACCAATAAACAAAGTGGAGCGAATCAGTACTGCACCGGCTGTTGGGCAGGAAAATTTATCATGCAGATTATTGCTAACAGTTTTATTCCATTCATCACCCTTTTCATTCTCCCGGGTGTCGGCACTCATTTTTTTACACACCTCCTCCACATTTTTTTTCTACTTTCTTCATTACATGTGCTCTTTATTCTTTAGAATAATAAAATCTCAATTTGATTTTTTCCGTTTAAATTTATTTCCTCTCACCTTTTACCTTGCAGATATTTAAAATATAAGATTTTCATCGGTCTTTCTGAAAAAGAGAACTTTGATTAGGCGTACTGCGTTAAAAGTATTTGATATATAAGTGTCTTTCTCTTGCATAAGTGCTCGCAGAGAAAGATAATTAAAAATTATATTTTTCATAATCGTGCAAAATTGTTTCTCTGCCTTAACTCATAAAAATGATTTTTCGCTGTTATTTTCTAAGAGAATCCATAAGACTTTACAAAATTCTCCACGATATTCAAAAAGAGAAAATTATAAAATTTGCGTAGCAAAATTTCAAATATTTTACAATATATAATTGATATTTAATTCCTCCAGAAAAGCCGGTTAATATTGAGCCATAATATCGGGAAATTGAACAATAATACACGAAAAAAAATCTAGAAAAATTGCCCTATTATATAATAATTACATAATGGAAGTAAATGACTGGTTATGATAGTGTATGTTAATGACTGGTAAAAAAACATAATTCTGATTAATGAAACCAAAATATTCGGTGTTTAAACCATTCATTTGGTATTTTTTCCGTTCATGTGGTAACGGTTTATTTAAAATTCTGGTTTTCAAAATTATAGTTCTTATTACCTCACATATAGTAAAAAATGCGAAACTGAAAAATAAATATAATCAAATAAATGGTTCTTATGCCGTGTTCTGAGGTATCATGATAAAATTACCAAATTTTACCACATTTACCAAATTTTATCGTATAATATAAGAGTGTATTTATATTTAATTTTACCAAAACCATTGCAGAAGTGCTTCGGGAAAATTTTTCTAACTTCTTTGTGTTTCCATAGAGCCAGAAACACTGTAAATTTTATCATATTCCGGTAGTTTTGATCATTTTTTTTCTCGGTTTGCGGTGAAAATATACTGCCAGCTTATCAGGCAGGAAATTGAATAATAATTCTGTTTATATTGAACCATATTGTTATGTAATTAAGTTTCAGAGTATATGGTTCAACTTAGCATGATAGATATTAAGTTTTACGCAATCTAGAACGATAATTTTGTTTAAGGGGTTTAAATATGAAACAGTATATTACTATGGTCACAGTATTCGAAAAGAGTAATTTTTTTGGCTTATCAAAAAACAAACTAAATACATAATTTTTAATGAATAATTCATAACTTCTCGTCTTCGATAATGAGTAGCACTACCACAATGATAAAACTAAGAATTCAAACATTTGCATGCCAACATTTCAAAATATGAATTTTAATTATTAATTCATCAGATAACATCTTTGAATGTAAAAAGGCTTGTCAAGTATTTGAAAGGAAAATTTCTGTTATTCTAAAAGTTAAATCAAATATAAAATACTACTTAAACTCATTAATCATCTGTTATTAATTTTTTTTCAATGCCCACCCGATTGATACTCGTCGTCAGACTTTTTGATTACTCTTTCTGGGACATCATATTAGGTGGGCTAACATTGCTCCCTCAAAAAAGGCAAATAGTACAGAGAATGAAAGAACTTCCACGAACTGTCCGGGATTCGAACCCAGGATCTTTTTGATGTGATTTCAGCTCCCTGACCAATGGTTTGCACTTTTGTAATATAATATATTATATGCTTGTAATGACTGTGTTAAATTCCGAAAAGTTTTGAACTCCAAGGAAGTAAATCACGATCGTCAACGTTTTGAAAAAGCTGAATTTTGAACTCGAATGAAGTTGTTATAATTTAACGTATTTTTCGTTATTTATATTAAAAGACGCTAGCTTATTTTTTTTTTTCAATTTGACAGCGTGTGCCAGTTCAAAGTGATTTTGAAGACGATGTCTTGTGGTTACATTTATCATTTCGTTTGCCCATTTCTCTTAGTGTGAGTCACAGAAATTTTGAATGATTCAAATGTCTTCATTCTGCAATGTTCTGTCTTCATTATGCTTTGTAATTAGTAGTTACAAATTCAGAAAACAAATTAATTCTTTTTAATAAATGTTCATACCTTTTACCAGACATCATAGCTGAGATACGCAAAGAGCAAAAAATAAACCAGATTTTCATACTTCTATGCTGGAGATAAATCTACAAAATGAGAAGAAATTAGCTATTGAGTAATAAATAAGCATATTTATAATGACACGAAAGTCTGAAAAATTCTATGTCTTAAGTAGATGGATGGAAAAGGGTTGCTTAAGCTTTTCCAGAAGTCTCATAAATTAATTATTTGCCATAAATTTATTTCTATATTTATTTATTTATATTCACTTATAAAAGTCACTAAATAAATTAGAAAATCTTAAGTCTTGAACCTTGAAAAATTATCAATAAAAAATATTGGGTCTTGAGAATTTTTTTGACGCATTTTTAAAAAAATTAAGAGCAAAAAATTTCAAGTAATCAAATTTTTATGTAATTAATGCTCATAAATTTTAAACGCGTTATTAAAAAAACTTCTGGTAAATTAAAAATCAGATTACTAAATCAGTGAACAAGCTTTTCAATATAAAAACATTATAGTAATTCAAGCTTTTTCTTGTTATACAAAAAATTCTAACTAACTCGTATCTAACTAACATTTACAAAGCACTAAAGTAACCAGACATAGACGTTTTCTAAACTCACAATTTTTTATTAAAAATAAATCATTAGTGTTTTTAAAATTAAATAAATAATCGTTTAAAAATCTACCCTGAATATTTTAAATACTCAAATTTGCGGTTAGTTGCTTGAAAGGATATTTTCACCAGTTAATTCTTATTTTGATTTTGATTCGAATGTCAAATTAGTTAAACACAAATTTAAATTCTATGTAATATATTAGAGCAGATTCTTAATAACTATTGTATTAAGATACTAATACTTTTTTAATGAAAAAAAATCTGTGTTCAGTTCCAATAATAAATGTTTATGTTAGTTAATTTGCATTTTGATTTTTATTCTAATGTTAAATGTGTTCACATAATCTTGCCTACCGGGGAGATATTATATTTGAAAAATATTTTTAAAAGAAACAGCTTATTTTAATTATAATATTAACTTGCAACAAGCTTATTTTAATTATAAGCAAGTTCATTTTATTTATAAAATAAAACTTTGCTTTTCAAAATAAATTAATTAATCCATTAGAAATATGAAGCCTAACTATGTATATATTTTAACCGTCGTTGAACAACCGACACAATTTTTGGATTTACGATTACTAATTCTCAACTCCGTAGTCTTGTAATTTTGAATACAATCCAAAAGACAAGGGAACGCCTGAATCAAGTATTGGGAGAAATTTTTATGTGGGACGTAGTGGAGGACTTTTTGATGGAATTAACCAGCATTTGCGTTACATGGAGAGGAAAAGCATGAAAACCTCCCATGGTTAGTCTAACGGCTAGGGGAGTCTAGCCCGTGATCCGTCTACCACTAAGGATATTTTACGTCAGCACTGTGGCCGGTGCGTGCCGGGTGAGGAATCCGTATTGACTAGAGATAGCTGGGATTCGAACCCGGTTCGCCTCACTGGAAGGCGAAATCCTTATATATATATATTGTAGAAAAAAATTTGCTCAGCTAAGTATATATTGTAGAAAAAAATTTGCTGTACGGAAATAAGAATATCTTTTTACTGACATGGATTCATCCATGATATTTTGGTACTATTACTGCCATGTCAGATCACATGTCAGTTCTTCAACTTTTTAATTTCAGTACTAAAAATAAAAACAACAATACAATATTTAAATCATATTGATGAGCAAAACTATGATAATATTACGCTTGTAAAAAAATTCTAAATTCTTTTCAGATCATTTGCTTACCAGAATTATTGAAATGTTTAAATAAGATACGTATTTATTTCTCTTCTTTGAATTTTAGTACTAACAGCAAAATAAAGCAGTAAAATACTTAGATCTTATCAATGGATGAAACCACAATAATAATAGAACTGTCAAAGCTAAATTCTAGTTATATTTTAATTCATTTGCACCAGAATTATTGAAACATTTCAAAATGCCTATTAATTTGTCTTTATTCTTCATTGAATTTTATGACTAAGAATAAAAAACAACAATGTAATGTATGGAACATATCAATGGATAAAACCACGATAATAATAGAGCAGTCAAGAATAAATTCTTACGACTTTTAAAATTAATTATTTACCAGAACTGTTATAGCATTTTTATAATACGTATTAATTTTTCTCTCTTTTACGAATCTGAATTACTAACAGCTCTGAATAAAGTAGCCCATTTAACTATCTTTATATTACCATCATTTCTATTCATTTGAAATGATTATTTGATTCGAATGGCAACCATTAACAGTTGTTGCTAACATCTTACCTCCATTACCAAATTCAAACTATTTGTTTTCATTTCTCAGCCAAATAATAATTAAAGTTCTAGATACCATGCCAAGGTGTGATGCCGCTTCGAGGTAGGAACAATTGAAGTTCTGAAAGGCATAGCAAAGGCCGTTGATGAAATAATCGTTGGCACTCAACATCTGTTCCCATCGAATCTGAACAGCAATACAAGAGGACGGAATTAAATAGCCATTTGAAAACAATTTGCATCGGCTGTTCTATTGACATGGACATTAGAGCATTTTAGCGATCGGTTGGTGAGCCAGGACCGATGCAGGGACCACTGGTGGGTTATTAGCTGGGGGTGGGAGAGTTTCATGAATCATCCTAGCTAAGTTAGGATCCCCTTTTTCAAGGGCTTTCCCGAAAACTCGTTTTTTTGCCATTGTTTCCTCACGTTTTCTTTAGGATGTCTTTTTTGCTTTTTATTTTATATCTTTGACTTTTTGCCCTGAGTTTAGCTGAACGATTTGGTGTTGAGCGTGGATAAAAATTTGAAACTGGGTTCTATGAAAGTGACTATACGGTGGAGAATTATTATTGCTTTAATGTTTTATTTTATTAATATTTCTTTATATTTCCTGTTTTATTTCTTTTGTTAATGCTTTTTCAATAACATATTTTTTGTATAGCATTTGATAGACGAACAAAACTAGTTCTAAAGAAAGTTTGACATTAACTTAAAAAATTTTAAAAATGACTTTGTTTAACCCTTTAACGCAATGGGACACCAGTGACTCTCATATACAGTCTTAGGTCAAATTAATAGGCGCACTATAAGATTCTATCTAAAATCTTAATTATCAGGTGATACAATACAGCTTTATTGTTTTTACGCGGATGAAACCGATTTGCACTTGTTTACGTTCGTTTTTCAATTGGTTAACATTGTAATGCAATATGTTAAAAATATATACAATCAGGAAGTATGTAAGAAATCTCCTGAATAAAAACCCATTACATTTATGTTTAAGTATAAAATTATTGCATATAAACTCGTGCAAAACATGTAATTATTTAAACACCACAATGCTTCTAATAATTTGTTCTAATTATTATAATACACTAATATAATAACTTATATAATCGATATTCTATATTTATATAACATATCGTCTAATTTATCCAATCATCGGATTTATATTATATATCGTCTAATTTAACCAATTGATACAAGAAACGCAAGCCGGTTTCAGTCACGTGAAAAGAATAAAGCTGTCACCTGATAATTAAGATTTTACATGGAATCATATAGTGTGTCTAATAATTTGGCCAGGTACTGTATATGCTTTTCTGATTCTCTAATTACAAGCAAAAGTATATTCTGGTATTTTTTAATTTTAAAAAATAATCTAATATTTAAAAAAAAATCTTTTAGATTGTCGGAAATATATTTGTATTAAAATATAAAATTCAAAAAATGTAGTTAATTTTTTTTTCTTTCATATCAAAGAAATTTAACAGTAATTGTTTCTGCAAATTAAAAAAATTTCAATGGCAAATAAATGTTTCTCTTAGATCTAAATGCCTGCAAATAAGTACAAATTTAGAAAATGATATTGTTTGGAAGTGAGCTGTGTTTTGAAGATTTTTACCTTTAACGTAGAAAAGACACATGTGTTTTATGATGTATTTGAAAACCTTATGGTTTTCAAATACAGCATGAAACACCGGTGTCCATAATTAAATTGCCGGTGTCTACTATTAAATTGCTAAATATAATATTTTTGCCTTATTTTAGCATAAATTAATATAGAATAGTAAAGAAATGTATGAAAAATATGTTTAATAAAAATTCTGTGTCAAAGGGATACATTCATAGAACCATTTTGTTCTGTAAGGTGGTAATAATTTTAACTTTAAAATAAGTTTAATTAAATCTTAATTAGCATGATATAGGTATTGATCGGACCATTTTTTAAACGGAAGCTTTTTTTTTAAATGTTTCTCAGATATATAAATTATGTAAATTAGATGATTTTAACCGTGTTTAAACATATTGTTTAAAAAAAAAGAAAAAAACATATATTTCTGTTCTAAATTTAAAAATAGTAGTACATTTTTTTAAATATTGTTTAAAGCAAAAATAAAATATTCTAATGCACATTAGCACTCAATATTCTTATTTCTGAAAGTTATTTTAAAAAAATAAAATTTCGGGCAAATTAAAAAACTTTAGCTCGGAAAATTTAGAGTTTAAGATCATCTTTTGTAATAAGAAATAAAATTATTATTATAAATAACCCTTTTCTTAAGGTTTTCGGAACACTATTTTTTTCCACTCGCTTCTGCATTTTTTCTTTAGGACGATTTTCTCTATCTTTGCGTTATAATTTTAAGTTCTTGCCATAAGTTTAGCCCGTAAGTAAATAATGATTCAAGAGCACCATATTTAACTGTCTCTTTTGATTATTATTGTTATTATTATTTATTTTTTTTTGTATTTTTCCAGATTTTATTTTTAGCTGTTTTTTCTATTGCATAAGTTTAAAGGAAATCGAAATTTTGGAGCATATACTTAATGGCAAAGATAGAAAACTTGTTGTTTAGCAGTATTTTGAAAATGAATTGTTGTTGTTAGTTGTTTGGCAGTATTTCAAAAATTTTAAACACCCCTGGTAACTCGTAATGTACTTTGGAAGTATTCAGTGTACACTTCTTTTTTTAATATAAGCTTAAAATTGTAAAATATAATTTTACTATAACGTCGTTAAAAAAATTT